GTGCTTATGGCCCAATTTGAACCGCCGGTATTCATCTCATGAGTTATTTCATTGTATACCTCGGAAGTTAAACTGCAAGAATAACGCTGATAATTTGCCAGATTGAACAGAGTTACATCTTGTCCTCAGAAATGTGCATGATAGTTACGTCTGTAGCCTGTTATTCACTGGAAGAAAGAAATACAGATTCTGCTGTAGTGGTAAAACTGACATTTTAGATTACTCGGTCACTCTCTGCTTTTACTGAACTTTTCATTGCAGCAACAACAGAACCTCTTCTTTTCTTATCACTTCACAGATTATGACGCAGATCATCTGCCTTATATGCTCGTTATGGAATCCCGGGTTCAGATTTACCAATAGATAGTTCATGTTTTTCTTTCATTTTCGAAGAAAATCCCTCACTCCCTTAAACAACAAATCCTGTCTGGCTTATACTAGCTATATACCTCAAATCTTACATAGCTATATACAGTTCCCTTATCGTAAAGGTTTTGGACATAGTCGTAGTTTTGGCAGACTTGCATCATAAAATATTATGACGCTGTAGTCTTGGCACTCATACATAACAAATATAAGCATACACTTAGATGTGTACACACACCCGCATTGCCGTATGACGTTTCGCAATGAACAGATATGTTCCATAACCGACGTTGGAGAGAATGCTTATTATTTGCAAACGTATTTAAGGAAAAAACGCAGTGTAAATACGACTTGAGATAACAGTTCTTCGCCATTTTGGTTTTCTTCTAAGAACACTTTCTCGACAGCCTGTTGTTAATAAATATTAAAAAATAAACAAAAATTTAAGTTGTTCAGTTATTTTGTAAAGTTGCTATAAATGCGAATCTAAATGAAGATTGCTGTCTTCTGAGGTGTTGCATCGTGTGACCTGGTAGAAATTTATAGTTTAGAGGTATTTTCTGCCTTTATAATCAGGGTGATGATTGGATATATCCTAGTATAGCCATTATTCGGAAATTTGTTTTGGTTTGTGCACAATGAAATAGCTTACTTGAACAAATCAGTTGATGTTTAAATAAATGAATCAGTACAACAGCCAGAAATTCAACAATGATAGGTTCTACCTTAATTGGATTGTAAACAGTACTTAATATATTTTTATATATTAAGTATTGTTTATATAATAATAAAAACTGCCCCACTATACGCCATGAAGGCGCTTGAGGGGAGATGAGGTACAACTCCTACATATATAACATATAATAATACTTTATAATAATTTGTGGTAATTATGATGATAATGTTACTTACAGAAAGGTTATTATAAAAATACATGCTGTGATAATGCAGTTTTAGCAGTCTTCATCATTTAACGCGGTCTGTTCGATTTTCAGACTGGTGATATAAGTGTGGAACATGTTTACATTCCCTTGGTTTGTACCAACTTAGGTCGGAATTTCAGCGACGACACTGAATGAACAAGCAATGCGTGTGCCGATCATGAATTGGATTTATGTTAGTTAATTAAGCATTACATGCCTCGCCGTATTTGCAGTATTGCCTTTCGTAATAATACACTTTGCCAGGCAAGTGGAATGTGGTACAAAATCACGCCCACACATAAATAATAGAACTCACGCCGAAGTACACAGGCGGTACCAGCTGCTAAAAGTGGAATTTTGGTGGAATTTTCTACTATACATTATTTTTTTCAGCGTGTCTTCGTCATCCGAAATTATCAAAGCTACAAATAAATAACACCCATTTTATTAGATTATTCCCGCACATGGTTTCAGAATTATAATTTAAAACTACCAACCACAATTGAGAATTTGTTTGTCAAAAACCTCGTAAGTATAATTCATACATGTATGTTTATATCCGCCACAGATCTCTGTTGCCTCACGCGTGGTGGATGGATGATTGAAATTCTGGAACACTTCTTCGCTTTTATTCTCTTCTCCGCAAGATGGACGGAGGTTTGCTGTACACGCGTGTGCAAAGTAAGTAAATAGATGAAGTTGATTTTATTCTAATTTAAAAAAAATAATCACACAGTAGCTGAATTTTCTACGGTGTGTTGTCATGTTTCAATGCATTAGTCTCATTTCATTAGAATTACGTAATTTCGGCTGTGCCTTAAAACATTCTTAATCCGCGTCTTGAAATGGACCTTGATCATTTCACATGCAATGTCATTAGTGCCGATTTTTCGGTTGTCACGGGTATGTTTGTCGATATGTCGTTTGACTGCATCACATTTTAACAGCAGAACCCGCGTTATCAACAACACTCGTACGCCCCCATGGAATCTTTTAATCAGTTTTTCAATTTTTCTTCTTCGGTTATCGACGTACTTAATGTAATTGTACCGTAAATCTCGCTAGCTTTCGCACCATTTGACGGCAAAATATCGGATCATGGATCGTTGTTGTTCTTTCGCGCATTATAAATTACATTTATAGTTATATTATCGATATATATGGATTGTATGTGTGTCTAGAGGAACTGAAGGAAACATGTCTTATCGTGGTCTCTGGTCTCGATCGATACTCGTTCGATTTCATCAGATCCTGAAGAAAATGTGGTATTAACGCGTCCGCGCGAATGTTCATAGTGTGGGACTCCCTTTCTCTGCCGCTAGATTATTCAAAGAGCTGTGTGTGTGTGTCTGTAGGCTGCTCGTTCTCTGAGTTCTAGTTTATGTATTCCCCCTCTTCCATGCGTTGCTACGACGCCTAATTTCTCTTGGGAAGGCATACGTGGTGGGACCACCACCTCATTACGAAGGTATTTACTCGTAGTTAGCCCTTCCTCCCAGGCAATATCAAACTACTGCCTGCTACTTACAATCACACCACCTGCTTTGCTTTCTTTATTCTATCACATTCTCAACCCGTCTTGTCCATCATTATTTCATTGATTCCATTACCTCCTTTTATTTTTTAAAAAAATAATTTCATTATAAAAATTTTCTCGTTCCCTCTCTTTTATAATCTTTTATGAGCTTCTTAATATCGTTTCCCGTTAATTTATATTCGTTTATTGGTATTTTACTCCTTTTTCTATTTTCTGTATAATATTGTCGTTCTTTCTGTAAATACATGTAACCTCATTTCAAAAATTAGTAGATGTGGTCTCTCGGGGCTCGTTTCTTCTGAAGAAATTGACGAATAGCTTCAACAAGTTTTGTTCCTCGATCCGAAAATTGTAAACTGTTTAAAGTGAGACGTATACCAGATCAGGCCATGCGTGGTTTCATTTTGTGCGTTTGTATGACAAACACCTGTGTAAATTTTTGTTCTGTAACTTTTTATTAAGTTTATCTATGAAGTGGGTGAAACAGTTGGACACTTTTTTTATCCCCAATGATGTGAGACAGGACACAAAATGTCAGATTTGGAATTGGAAATCATGACAAATGAAATGAGTATTATGAATCGGTTGAAAACAAATAAATCCAACCATAAGAAAATAAGAAGGAGAATAAAACGGATCAGTAATTATAACTTTTTTAAAGGAGGTGACGAATAACACTTTTGTTAACTGTTGTCATAGTACGCAGCTACCTTCAACGAAAGTAGATGAATACCAAGGTTTTGCAGCCGATGTTTGGCTTATTGAAAGGTGACACGATTTTCAGGTGCATTTTTACGATTGTAAATTACTTATTGGTCTTATATTGGACTTTTCTGGAAGAAATTATTTTGAGAAATGTAATGACGTCTGTCAAGGAGAATGAGACGATATTTTTCTTCCCAAGCGCTTCGATAAATATTACATACATCATATCACAAGCTCTTCAAGTAAAGTTATAGATATTAACGGGATATATAATCTATTTATCTAAGTATATTAGTTGTTTGAGCCATGAGACGTATCTTGTATAATCTGTAATCGATTAATTCGAATTTTTGCTGCGTAAAGTAGGTTTTATAATTGACAGGCACGCAGTTGAACCTGCATTGCATACTACAGAATCCAGTACTCAGTTTAATCGAAATCCGTCTTTTAGGTTTGGAAATTAAACATATGTAAGGACGTACAATCAATACCTCAAATATTGCAAGACATGCACACACAACAGTTTGTTTATATATGAGAAAGTCACTTTGGAAGAGTGTGTATGTGCAACTTCGTTTGATATTTTCGGGGGTTCGGAGTAAAGATTTAATGTTTGAGAGACTATAAGTGAAGCGACCGTATTGTTGGTGGTATCCAGCCTCAGTTTCGAATGATGGACGGAAAATGCTAATTTTTAACAACAAATGGCGCTGCAGTTGAATATGTTTCGGGATATTCTAACGGGCGAGACTGCAATGCTCCTGAGTTGTGAAACTGACCAGAACTTAAAATCTTAGGATTTGTTGCCTCACGAGAGACTGGCAGTCTTTCCTATACGTACATTTGCAGTGAGTGTTCTCCAAACAAAGCGTCACACACGGTGATACAATCGACATCAGTTACAGTACCGTTCTCCTCTTAATATTAGAATTATTGTGCCTGTCCGGTTTTACATTCTATCGTCCCTCTTTGACCTCTTTAAACTTCTCGTTGTTATTTCTAATTTTCTTAAACATGTCACCGCTTTCTTACTCTTTTATTGGCTGTCTCTGTCTTCATTATCTAAATATTGCGACAATTGTTAATTCATTATTGGGATACTATGTTTGGCATTGTCCATTGTCTGAGGTAGACTTGATATACACGACGTTTCGGAAGTTGGCACTTCTCTCGTCTTTAGGTGATTGCTTGTCATTATTTATACTATCGACATCGGTTATCGAACCATGAAATAATAATAAAAATCTTTCCGTATAATGACAACCAATCACCTGAGGACAGGAATGGAGAAAACTCCGGAAACGTCTTGCGTTTAAAGTAGATATATCTCATACAGTGGACAATATCCGTCATAGTAATCATAGTATTTCTGTAATGTTACCGTGTTCTTGATCACCACTTTGTCATCTTGCAAGTAGGTACAGTCGTTTCGAGGAGAATATCTCCTCAATCTTCAAGGTTTTATGTCAACCGCGTTTGCATCCTCCTATTTTATCTCGCTCTTTATTGCCATTTTCTTTTGTGGATCCCTTACTTCTTTTCGCAGCTCGTGATTTCTTTACGCCCGTTTTGTTTCGTCTTCTGCGTTTGCCTTTATCCGATCCTTCGCATTCCTTTTAGTTACTTGTTCTCATATTCGCATTGCTTTAAATTTCTGCGCCTTTCCTGTGCCTCTATATTTATTTATTTCATGCATAGTTTTCGCGATCCGTATATTGTTTATCTTCAGGCATCTTTCGTTCATCTCTTTTCCATCCTGCTCCAGGCTAGAACCATACTTAGTGGTCGAATAAATACGAATACTTCGCTGCTGTTATTCCTCAGCATGCAGCATGCAGAATGCCCTGTGCTATTCTTAATTTTAATTTTGAATACACAGTTTATAATTTGCCGGTTACAAAAGATCTTGGGGCGATTTGATTTAAAGTCGATAGAATACACTTTAGAGCACTGGGATCTATACCTGAAGCGAATTCTATGCGAAAGACTCGTGAATACTCTATCATCATCATCAATGAGATTTTGACACCGCGGGTTTCACTAACTTGATAATTTTGGAATAAATAAATTTCGCCTCCAACTTCAAGTTTCTCGATTTCTGCACAAAAGACACCGTCGGGCGACTGAAGTGTCCGAGCTCATTATTCTATAAGATAAGAGCGTCTTAGAAAACAAAAAAAACAAAAACAAAAAATCTCCAAGTTTATAAAGAACATTTTTAAGTCGAGAGGGATGGACTTCAAGGGTAGTTCTAAGTAGCGAGATTTCGTTCTTTTTTATTCTCTCTTAGTTCTTCCACGAAGAACTTTGTCTGACTCGTCAGTTGTGCTTGTTTGATTCATGGTGACGTCACAGCGCGTTTTCAAGGGTAAACCCACCAAGATCTGCACCGGCGGTGGCTCCAAGCGGGCTCGCGCCCTGACCCTTCCAGTCAGTATAGTGACTAGCTACGGGCTGGACGACCGGGATTCAATCCCCGACGGGGGCAGAGGATTTTTCCTCTAGCCTCTGGGGCCCACCCAGCCTCCTCTACAATGGGTACCGGGGTCCTTTCCAGGGGGTAAAGCCGGCTGGGGCGTGATGCTGATCACTCACCCCCCCATCTAGTGCCGAGGTCAAGGAAGAGAGGAGCTATACCTCCACTCCCCCCAAACGCCTACATGGCGTGTAGTGGGACAAACTTTACCTTACTTTTTATCATGTAGCTTTCATGGAGTTAGGCCATTCGTTGGCCTGTTCCGGCTTCACATTTCAAAAAGCCTCTTCAGAGGTCTTCCCCGACATCTTCTTCCATTTGGTACATAATTTCTTAAAAAATTTTGTAGCCTGCTTCTTGCCATTCTGTCTTCATGCTCAAACCATTTTGATTTATTTTCTATTTCTTCTAATACTGGAATTATTTTCGACTCCTGTACAATTTCTGTATTAGTTTAGTAATCCATTCAATTGTAACCTGCTGTTTTTCTCATGTATTTCATTTCTGCTGCTCTTTATTCTTGATGCATCTGCTTCTCTGATTGTCCAATTTTCACTACCGTATAAAAGAGTATGGAGAGCCGGATATGATTATTAAGTGGTATATTTTTTTTTTAAGTACAGAGGGAGCGTATTTCCACTCAGCCAAATGATCACATCGTATATTGAACATGGCGTTTGTTTGAGGCTCACCGCATGAAATACATCGCCTGTGCTGACTGCGAGACTTCTCTTGGTGCCTCTTGTTTTCATGCTACAAAAATATTGGTTAGTTGTCATTTTTTCAATTTCACTTTCAAGTTTTCTTGTTAAAAATTTAATATCCTCCTTTTTATTCTTCGATACTTAACAGCCCTTCTCCAATTTTTTACAATTACACTGTCTTTAAACTTGTTAAGGGAGTAACTCCCCTCTACACCATCTCCTCCCTGGAAACCTACAGGTTACATAATGGACAGCCCCG